AAAAAGCAGACGATATATTTCTAGCCCCCCTCCACTACCGGGCTCCACATTTTTACTTTCAGTACCCTCAGAGTTTACAATATTAGACCAGTTTACAATATTAGACCACCTGCCCCAAACCTGGTACTCCCCTGGGCCATGCAAATGGCTCTTCTGCCCTGTAGATGCAACCCTGGGTCTGCCAGCCACAGCCCTGCCAGCGGCTGCCCCTCCTCTGACTCTCCCCAGCTGCCAGCGACCCCCTCACAGGGCAGGGCCCGGCCACTGCAGCCTGGGGTGGGACTCTCCCCTCCTTCAGGGTGGACCTGGGTCGTTTGGCCCAGCCACACCAGTGGTCAGGATGACCTGGTCACCGATCTTCCCAGGCTCGCTCTTGGGTCCAGGCTCTGCTGGGACAATTTAGCACCTGATCTGAGGACAAGAAACCCTATCTCCTGCCATTTACTGTGGTGGACTTAGGGACAAGCCACCTAGCTCTTCTGCACTTCAATTGGATTATCTGTAAAATGGGAATAATAGTAATATCTACCTCATAGATATTGCTGTGAGACACCAACAAATTTATACAGTATTAGCCTGGCTCCCAGTAAGGACTACACATATGTTAACTATTATTCTCTTACCACTTGTGTTCAGGTTTTTGCACTATCTTGCTGACACCTCTATCCCCACAGCCCTGTGTAACATTCAAAATGGAAATAGCCGGCCAGCTGCACCTTTCTTTACTAATGACTAACATTTATTAAACATTCAGTATGTGTCAGGCACGCTTCCAAGCAATAAATACGCATTAACTCATTTCACCTACTCAAACCTGTGAAGTAGTTACTAGCATTATCCTCACTCACGCGATAGCTGGGGTCACTGAGGCACAGAGAGGCTACGCAACTTCCCTAAGGTCACACAGCAAATACGTGGTAGAGCTGGGAAGTGAACCCAAGCCACCTGGCTCCAAAGGTTGTGCACTCCATCCCTATGCTCCTGCCAGCCTCTGCCACTGCTGAGAGATCAGCTCAAAACCCACTGATAGCCCATGAGTGACCCTTCTCACGCCCTTGGGCACTGGTCAGGCCTTCTGCTGTCCCCGGCCCATACTTCTCTCCTTAGGAAGCTGCAACTATAAGCACAGCATTTCAGA